GACTTGATAAGTGGGTCACTATATGAAATACAATTTTCAGAAGCGCCATAGGTACTTATGAGCCACAGAAAACTAGAAATAGGACACAGAGAACAGAATTTACTATTAGTGGTATACAGATTTTGGTTTGTTCTCCTTGGCACCACAAATTATATTCTGATACTTAATCTGAAGACAGTCTTTTTTATCATACGTGAGATTTTGTTGCATTTTATTCATCCTGTATGAACTGGTGCAGCTATCTTGATAAGAGTGGGAACAAATTTCGCTATTACACTTTTCCTCAACAGTGCAAATTTCTGATCAGAGTCATATGGTTCAAAGACAGCACTGCTTCCAAGGGCAGTACAGCAGCACAAGAGATGAAAAACTGGCATATACTCTCCCCATTGACTCAAATTACTCTAGTCTTTCTGTTAACTTCTGATAAAACTGAAAACAAAGCACTCAACTAATGTCCTTAGCGGGCCCTCTCATAGGAAACTAAACTCCTGATTAATGAACAACCTGATTTTCTTTTCCATGTTGTTTGCAAAGTGACACAGTAGGAATGTCACAGATTTGTGTATTGTGCATGATTAGTAGATATGATACACTAAAAACTTAAATTCAGTCAGTTTTAATCCATAATACTGGTCAAATTAGGACAAAGGATGAAAAGGCAGAAACCAAAAATAAAGATATGTAAACTTTTTGGAGTTTCTTAGCTAAATAAGAGATATAGAAAAAAAGTATAGAAAGATGAATTTAAATAGACAATTAAATATCAAAATCAGAATTTTATTTTTGTTCAGTGGACTGGAGAAATTAGCTGCAGTACTCAGTACACAAGGCACCCCAAATGTTTTACCAGCACATGGAAGTGGACATTGAAAAGACATTTAGCAAGAAAGGTCGACACTCTAACGCTAAATCAAAGTATTGCATTTTATAATTTTCTCCATTCCTATTATAAGAGAGGAGAGATAAGGACACAACATGAATCTTAACACATGGAAATGTCTTCACTTTATTTTAGAATAGTTTCCATACTACAAGTTTTAATGTCATTTATTACTTCCTAGGACATCTACTTTTTTCTAAAGCAAATAATGACAAACTTGATTTACGTATTCTCTGAAATATGGCATCAGAGCTATAAAATTGCAGTCCTGCATCATTCCATGCAAATTTTAATGACTGCTCTCAGTGGTACAAGACTGGCTCCCAAATTAGTGAGATTTTTTGCAATGCTAGTAACTTTTGCAATGTACTTCAAAATCTTCAGTTCACATGTTAGTTAATAGATGAGACAATAGTAGTTTGGGTGCTGGACATCTGTCAGATACATGTTTTTAAATTTAATTACAGGCATAATTCACACTGAAACGAGTTAACTGTGAAGAGCTCTGTCCAAATACGTGTCAGAAAAACATCTCAGATTTCTCTGGAGATTGCATGAACTATGGTCCAATTTTTGAAGCATCCTGCACACGGGTAGATTACACAGAAACAACCACTGTTCTCTCTGGATCAGTGGGTTCCACACAAATATAGCAGCTACTCTTCTAAAAAATTACATTTTTTTCCCTCAATCTAAACCCCTCATTCTGTAATCAACGAATGCAGCATGTGAGGGAGAGAAGCAGCATGTTAGCAGGGAAACACAATTGTACAGAATTGCAGTGAACAGAGTTTTCAGATTTGAGTTTCTGGGAAACTTGTTACAAATACTCTGTCATTTTTACCAGCCACTATGAAGAAAATTAACTCTATCCCAGCCAAAACCAGCACAGGTTTTTAAGCTTGTCTGCTTACAAAAAAACTTGATGAAAACATGTATTTCTGCTTTTGGGCTTTACTGTGATTTTTTTCTGGAACTTTATGCACTAGAACCAATCAAAGAATAAAGCATATTTTTTAATTATTAGGTGTTTTTTTAGCACTAACCAGAGTTAATAAGGACTTACCAAGGCCCAACTTCCTTGCTCTGGGTCTTAGAAGCTGCAGAATATATTAAAATATACATATATTACTTGAAGTACAGTTTGTAATTAATTTTAGTGACACCTTAAAATTCAATATTCTCAAGGTATAAATATTTTTAAATGTACTTGTCAGTCTTAGAAATCTAGATAATATATGAAAATAAATTTATCTGTTATAATAGAGGAGAAACAAATCATTATATTAAACAGGTATTTGATCAGGTCACATTTCAAAACAAACCCTTTATAAGCTTTACTTAGTAGTTCTGCAGTAAAAAACAGAATTAAAAGAACCATCTTAGTAACTAAATTATGTCTTCAAGTTCCACTATCTGAAATACATTTATAAATCTGAACAACAGTCTCCCCAGCACCATTATTTTAAGGAATGACAAACACTAACAGCAAATATTTTAGCAAGTTTCACAATGTGATTTAGCATCCTTTTAGTACTGAATATAAATTTCAAGCTTTTCATTTGCATACAGATGTAACCCATGAATAATGACCATATAACAACATTATTAATCTTTTAGAACATGAGTGACCGAGATTTAAACCTGTGCCAAGTATCCTCAGCTTGGGCAGGGCCATATGAAGTGCAGGGGGAGAAGGGGGCACCACCACTAACAAAAGAGGAATCTAACTTCTAGATCATGATGACAGTAATTTAACTTTCAACTCTTCATAAAGTGCCTTTGATATAAGTCAGGATTTCGGGATGAGAGGGTAGATATTTAAGCAGTCATCTAAATATGCTTCAGAAACAAATTTAAAATCTTGCTTTTAAATCTTGTCTAATTTTGACACCTTATCTGTGAGGTCGTAAGTAATGTAATTCAGAGAAGGACATGGATATGAAAGAGTTAGTAATCATCTGTGCTTCTGATGATTTGTTATTCTGGTTTACACGTCTTTTTCCCATAGATTTTTTTTTTTTTCTTTTAATAAATATTAAATTTTGAACACTTGAGAAAAGATCACTGATTCCTCATCTATTTCCTTGAACATGTTGGCTTTTCATTAAGTCAACTACATACCATGTTCAATAAGTATAATGTGAGAAGGCCCATGGGGTTATTTGGATGACAGCTCCTGAACACAGATCAGAATAACGATTTTTGTTCAGGAAACAGAGAAAATAATTTCAGGTTAAAAAACCAAAACCAAACCAAAAAAACAGGAAACAGAGAAAATTGACCTAAAGAGAACTCACAGCTGACTTACACTTCTGTAGCAGTACCAGTGTGAGTTGATGGTGGTGCCTCCATGTAATTCCACCCAAATGCACTTGGCTCAACACTGCTGCAGGGGCTGGTCCACAAATTAAACTTCAAAATTAAACTCTTCAGCAGTGAGGAGATGTTGGCTAACTGTCTTAAACTTCTCTGTTACTAATTATGCAGTAACACATTAAGTGTCTGACACTGCTTACAGCACAAAACTCTTAACAAACTGAATGCTTAAGTTTTGTGACAAAGCTTTTAGTACCCCCCCAAAAGAAAGTGGCTTTAATGACTCATAAAGACTAAATAAATGACGATATCTTGTTGTATATAGTTAATGGCTATACAGTAATATAGTAAAAAAAAAAAAAAAAGTCCTGTTATTGAGGAATGCAACTAGACGCAATTAAAAGTAAAACACAAGACCAGACTAGCTTTCATCTCTCCAATTTCCCTATTACTGCAGTCACTTAAAATGAAATTAAAGTTTATCCAAACCTCATCTCTCCCTGAGGCAGGCACAAGGTACACTAACAACCGCTCTTCATTACTCAACAGCAAACAGCAATGCACAAAGTACTGAATACATTTTGCAAATATTAATTCATGATTCTGCATATTAGTTCATAATGCTGCTAAGCTACTGAATGACTATTGTAATTTCACATTTATCTAAAGTGGTGTGCAAAACTTAACTTGTTTAAGGATGTAAAGAAAGTGCAGAATCCAGGGACTCCATTCCAGTTTTCCAAGGACTTCAAGTACTTTCCAATACAATAACAATTAAACAAAACAAAACAAACAAACCAAAATATACAACTCACTATTTTATCTGATCCATATATCTTTTCCAACTGTTCAGCAATTTCCTGTGTCCCATCTGGGCTTCCATCATCTATGATGATAATTTCAAAACTGTTTCCACTGAAATTAAAAATATTTTTAAATGAACAAATGGAAAACCCAATTTCACTACCTATCTTATTTTCAAAGGCATCAACCCGAGGAACAGAATACGAAGTGATGTTCCGACCGTTAGAGACCCATGCTCTAGTTATAGCTGTAAGACTATGCTTGTAGCGATAAACCGTGACTCGGTGTCGCTGTTTCTCAGCACTTGGCAGCAATATAAACCATCATCCCAGCGTCACCGCAGCGTTCGGGTTTGGCCTCGTGATTGTGAAAGATGAAAAGCAAACCCGCCTCTGCGCTGCCGGCTGCGACGCTTCCCCGGGAGCCGGCGCCGAACGGACCCCAGAGCACGCGAGACCTCCGATTACCCTAATTTCCCTCCCCTAATTAACCTCGGGGAAGAGCAGCACTCTCCACTGGGGGCTAGGTGCCCTCCGTCACCGGGGCAGGCTGCTACCTGTTCCCGCGCATGGGTTGCGTCACTCCCTTCCCAAATCGTGACGCCGTTTTGTCGAACTCGCGGGCGGGTACGTCCCAGCTCTACGGGCGGCGGCCACCGGAGCCTCCCGCCGAGCCCGTTCCCGCCCCGAGCCCGCTCCGTACCCGCCGGGGCACTTTCGCCCGCCAGCCTGTCCCCGCAGCTCCGGCAGCCGCCTCCCCTCAGAGGGGCCGCCAGCCGCCCCCGTCCCGCGGAGGCACCCCGGGACCGTCCCCCCGCGGCCCGTACCTCTCCCGGAAGGTGCGCGCCAGGAGCCAGACGACAAGGGGCAAGTTCTCCCGCTCGTTGTAGGTGGGCAGCAGCACCGAGTACTTGTCGGCAGCGCCGGCCGCCATGTCGGTAGCGCTCACGCGCCGGGAACCGGCGGGATCGCGCCGTAGCCAATCAGCCGAGCGGCGGCGCAGGCGGAAGCGGAAGCGACGCGCGCTGCATCGCGCGCTCTCCCCTCAGCCATGGCGGGCAGCGCGGAGGCAGCGCGGCTGTGTGCGGAGATCAGCCAGCGGGAGCGGGAGCTGCGCGGCTTACGGCAGCGGCTGGCCGCCGTCCTGGCCGGAGATTCTGCGGGCGACGACGAGGCTGCTGCGGTGGCCGCCGAGGAGTGCGCCGCCGCCTTTCCCGGCGAGCTCCCCCCGCTGCCCGCTCAGGCCTCCCTGAGCACTGCCGACATCCTGCGGTACAGCCGGCAGCTGGTGCTGCCCGAGCTGGGAGTGCGGGGACAGCTGCTCCTGGCCCGTTCCTCCGTGCTCGTGGTGGGCTGCGGTGGCCTGGGCTGCCCTCTGGCCCAGTACCTGGCTGCTGCTGGGGTCGGCCGCCTGGGTCTGGTGGATCACGACGTGGTGGAGACGAGCAACCTGCACCGGCAGGTGCTGCACGGGGAGGCCCGCCGAGGGCTCCCCAAGGCCGCGTCTGCTGCGGCAGCCCTGCGGCTGCTGAACTCCACGGTGCAGTACGTGCCCTACTGCGGTGCCCTGAGCCCTCGCACTGCCCTGGGGCTGGTGCGGCAGTACGATGTCATCGCCGACTGCTCCGACAACGTCCCCACCAGGTACTTGGTGAATGACGCCTGTGTCCTAGCTGGGAAGCCCCTGGTATCTGCCAGTGCCCTCCGGCTGGAGGGACAGCTGGTTGTGTACAACTACCAGGGAGGGCCCTGCTACAGGTGCCTCTTCCCCAAGCCCCCTCCGCCTGAGACGGTGACTAACTGTGCGGATGGGGGAGTGCTGGGTGTCGTGCCAGGCATCATGGGGTGCATCCAGGCCTTGGAAGTGCTGAAGATTGCTTCGGGAATGGGTTCCTCTTTCAGTCAGTTCATGCTGATGTTTGATGCCCATGAAGGGAGGTTTCGCAACATCAAGTTAAGACCAAAGAAACCGGACTGTGCTGTTTGTGGTGACAATCCATCTGTTACCTGCCTTCAGGATTATGAGGCATTTTGTGGTTCTTCTGCAACAGACAAGTGTAGGACTTTACATCTGCTGTCCAGTAAAGACAGGATATCTGTAGAGGAATACAAAAAACTGTTGGATGAGCAAGTTCCTCATGTATTGTTAGATGTTCGTCCACAAGTAGAAGTGGATATCTGTCGTCTGGTACACGCTGTCCACATTCCTTTGAGTAAATTGGAAGAAAAAGATGAAGAATATCTGGAATATTTAGAAAAAATAATTCATGAAGAAAAGCAAAGAACTAATGGCCAGACATCTTTTCCTGTATATGTTGTTTGTAAATTAGGAAATGATTCCCAGAAGGCTGTAAGAATTCTGCAGGAGTTACCCACCAAAGAATTTGGTTCTCTGTTAGCTAAGGACATTAGAGGGGGGCTCATGGCTTGGGCCAGTAAAATTGACCCAACATTTCCTCAGTATTAGAAATTTAAATGGTGAAAAAAAGACAAATTTTCGTAGTAAATTCCACAGGGTTTCATCTTCTCTGTGTGATGACTATCATGGATAGAATAGGAGATAGAAATATGATGTTAATTTTTTTTTTATGGTAATTTAAAAAAAATGTGTATTTGTAGATGTCTGATTATTTTTATAAAAATGTGAAACTATCCATGGAAATGGAAAGAAATTTATTTCTTGGTTATTATTTAATAGTGAGTACTTGGAGTAACTACTTAATTGTGCATGTGATGGTTGCGAATGACTCCTAATTAGTAATTATAACCTGGAGAATGACCAAACACAGGAGTAAAGCGAAAGTTTTTACTCATTCTCCTAACTGCCTAACAATTTCAAACAGTGCCTACAGTGATTAAAAGAAAACAACTAACTGTTAATGGTCAGTAGCGCTATTAAGCCTATTGTAGGGAATTGCCAAGACAGTGCTGGCAAAACTGTTTTGGTCAACATCTTTTAGTTCTCAGTAGAAGCATTGTGTACTTATGAAAGGGAAGTGCTCAGTGCAAATAACAGCACCTGCAGCAAGGGTGTTGTGTTAAGAACTTCCAGAGCCATCCATCCTCATTTGTTGGCTGGCAAAAGAAATGTATTTTACAACTTGCATAGAGAAACTGAGTTTAAATCTTGATAAGACATAAGTTTGAGCCCAGGAAGTTTGTAAGACATGCAGAAAATGCTTTTGTGAGATCTTAGAAGATTTCAAAGATTGAGAGGTGAAGAGGAGGCGAGAGAGAAAAAAAACAGATGTGGCCTCCCTTCTGCAAACAAAGACATATTTCATAAGCTTTCTCCCTGTTTGTTGTGATAGTTGCATATATCCTCAGTTGTACTTCATGGTTTTGTTAACTGGCATGAAGAGCTACACATATCTAAAAAGTTCTTGTAGGTGAACTGAATGAAAAGAAAGAGAAATAAATAGCTTCTCAACAGAGAGCTGCCCGAGTCCTCATCACTTAAGCATAGTAATTATCTTCTTATTGTATTAATTAAGGTATGGATTTCCTTTACTTCCTGAGGAGAAAAAAAAACACCTGTCATGACTAATCTTCACATTATACAAGGGCAAAAAAAAAAGGATAGTACCATTATAATTAGTAGTCAAAAAGGCATATTTTAGTAAAATAAATTTGACAACATCCACACCGCCTACTTTATTATAACACGCCATGGGTTCTAGCAGTAATAATCTTAGTATCTTGTGAAGGAAACAGGTATGTGAATTTGTAAATAGAAAGTCTTATCTCTTGCAATTTAGAGATAATGAGAACATTGAAAGCCATGTCTTGAAGTAAGTGTTAGTGCTTTGTGGTGCGTACTGGGAGAGTCTTAAGTCACGACCTTTTAAGACTGGTTGTGGAGGCTTGGTTCAGTTGAACATCTGGATTCTGGTGGGTTTCAGCTTTTGGGAGTTAGAAACTAGGGGCACTTGTTTGAAATGCCGGACCTCTGTTTTGATTTTTTTTACTGTGATGTCAAGAAGTGACTGAAACATAAAAGGAAACAGTAACAATAGTTCTCTAATATCCAACCTTCCAATGCTAAGCAATGGATGGTATGTCACATATCCACTAGACCTGAAAAAGTCATTCCTTTTCAGCAATGTGAACCTATGGACTTTGGGAGAACAGAGAGACTTTTTGATTCTAAATCTGATTACTACTTCCAGCAGATAGAAATCATGCGTAAAGTCTTTTTCCTTGTTACAGTATTTTAGCAGCAGATGTACACAAATTCTGTGAAGGAAAAAGGAGGTGACATTAAAGCCTGGGGTGTTTGGTGGATGATTTTTTGTAGTGAATTTATAACTGTATTTCTGGTAGCACATTTTCAATCAGGAAGCCTGACTGTGAGTCTTTGTGCTATATAGAAAATAATGAACGCATCAAGGATCTGGAGAACTCTGTGGAAAAACAGTGATAAGGATGAATGAAAATGGACCAAAACCATAGAATAAAATCAGAACTGGCAGAATAAGTAAATGCATCAAGTCAGGCTGACAAGAGACTAACTTTCAAGGATCTGTTCTATTCAAATGGCTTTTTGGAAAGACCACTCTTGCCAATCAACAGGGTCTAAGGTCCAAAGTATCTTATAGGAGTGCAGCATCTGAGATGCATCTGTTATTTTTGCATGGAGTTCTATGCAAAACTAATTGGGCAATACAATATAGAGATAGTTATTGTGTAAAGAACTAGTGGCTGAGTTCTGATCTCAAGGGACCATGCAAAATGTAGGTTTCTTTGGGGAAAAAAGTGTTCTCTTCCTTGACTTAGGATAACAATTACATTCTCAGCAAATATGAAAACATCTGCCATGCATTTTAAATAAAGATGGGGTCCATAGGGCTTGTCAAAATTTCATTTTTTTTACATGCTGGGGGTTTTATTTTATTTTAAGTTCAATTTCTTTTTTACCCCCTTGGCTTGCTGAAGTGATACACAAATCTTCCTGTAAATACAGTCCCCACACAGTGCTGGTGTCTTTGGAGATAGGCTGAAAAATCAAGGGCTGTGGGATTATAACTAAGCCAAAACCATTCTCATTATAGGAAAGGTATCTTTTATTTTGACTTGCTTTATTTCTTGAACTCTATAAAACATGCATTGGTTTTTCTGTTCACCAGGAATTATAGTAGCAGAGCTCTACTTAGAAATTCTAAGAGAAGCAATAAAACTATTATTTTGTATTGCTGCCAAAGTACTGTCTAAATATTGGTACATGTTGACTTTGTGAATGTAGACAAGCTGTTTTATTCAAGGAGCTTATAGTGTAGTTGGTCTCAGATGTTTTGTTAGAAAGGATAAGGTCCATCAGCAGAGTGTGTTTTTCCTTTGTCCTTCACTCTTGATGTCATGAGGTTGCTTTTCCTTGTTTGGTTATATTCTCTTTTAAATGGCTTACTAGAATTTGGCACAGGAACTAAACAGGAAATAGCTTCCTGTTAGAGGTTTAGGATAATAGAAAGTGACTGTAGCATTTTTTCTGAATTGCTGCATTTTAACATCTCCCACATGTAGGTCTATGGGATGGCCTCCCAGTTCATGCACAGAGTTAAATATTGAAACTTGTTTTTTCCAGGGAGATGGTTATTATTTTAAGGCAAGGCAAATCAAGCTGGCCTAGCTTTCAGGCAAGTCTAAAAGGTGTCTACACACAAGGTACTAATGTGTCTTGATAAGCTAAAATAATCCTTATTTTAATGGCAGGAGTCTCTCATCTCAAAACCCCAATAAATTCAGCACTGACATACTACAAAACTGTATGATTTAAAAGAAATCCCCCAATAATAATTAATGGAACAAATGTGGACAAATGTATAAGGGATTTATCCAAAACTCATTCTCAAAGTTGGTGTACCAGAACTTTAGGTATGTGAGCACTTCTATTATTATCCTATTTGTAAGCATAATATCTAATAAAAATTTAACTGTTCAAAACAAAAGTATGCACTAGATGCTTGAAATACTGCAAGCACAGGTTTATCTCTTTTAAAAAATGGAAGTTCTAAGCTGCCCTTTGTAAAACTATATCAGGAGAAAAATTTTAAGGACGTTTGCTAGATGGCACTGCAAGTTAATAAACCAAATAATTCTCTAGGTTGTAAGATGCAATTCAACTTTAGCAAGAGCTGAGGTTCACTTTTAAAAATGCATTGTTGTACAGGTCTTTTGAAAAAAGACCAGGGAAATAGAATAAAATGGAGCTGGGCAATTGAATAAGTACAATAATCCAAGAAAAAAATTATAATGGAAATTAGGTTTTGAGGGTAAGTTTTCAAAGCATTGTTTGTTTCAGAGACTTAACCTGAGGGTTTTTTCATATGTTATTTCAAAATGCTTTTGCAGCCAAAGTGGATAATTGTACAGAAAAATGCTATTAGAAACACTAGCAAAAAATTAAACTTAGATCTTAAATCTATGAAGAGGCACTGCAGAGTCAATGCTAATACTACTGAAAAGCATTGCAGATTTTCTTACCTGGCTAGGGGCAGGGTTTTTTTTGAATACTCAAGGATTTTTTTTTCCTTTTTGCTTTGTAAAACAAAATTTATGGCACAAAATCTTAAAAAAAAAAAAAAAAGTCCTTTAAGTCAGAGAATCCCCACACAACAAGGTGGATTCCTTGGGAAAACAAGAACTGAACTTGCAGATCTGATGTATCGAAACAAGCTCATAGGAATATCTGTGCCCAGAGTCAGACGTTCCTGTGGTAATGAAACTAGGTTGTGAACCTTAGCATCCCACATCATACTGCAGAAACATTTGATGCCTATCTTCAGTATTTAAAAGATAAAAATTTAAAAAATCATGCAAGTCTGCTCAGTGCAAGTGTCATGAAATAACCTAACAACAAGCTGAAGTTTTGCAGAAACTTCAGATAACAAAAGCAGCAATGGGCTATCCTCTTCTAGCTCTAAAGAAAAGTGGATAAGAGGACTGATGAAATGAGATGAAGATAAGCATATTCCTTTGTTTAAAGCTTCTGTAATTATAAGCATCTTGTAACTCAGGATTTATTAAAATAGATTTGAAAGTTTTTCTCTTTAGAATCTTTAGCATCATGTGTGGGATTAAGCTTGTATTTGTTTAATGCTGCAATTAAACATCTGCATTATGCTAGCAGTGGAGAGTCTGGCAGACCTCTTGGTTCATGGATAGACATCAAAAGCAAAGGTCTTATGAAGTCATGGCACTTGCATCAGTTTGCATGCTTGTGATTTTCATTGAAATCAAGGTGCTGGTCAAAATACAGAAATTAAAAGATGGTGTATTTGTTATTTCCTGCAATAGACTATCGCAATATTACATATGAAATGGCTTAAATCAGGTCCTGGTTAATTAGGTGAGTTGTTCCTGAAACTGAGTCATTCTGTCACTGGAGATTAAAGCCTTGCTTATCACTGTATATTTTAGAAAAGGTCGAGTCATTACAGTGTTAGCATGAGCTTTATTAGTGTCACTTGATTTATGCATGTGTCTGACTTACTAGCTCAGTGTTCGGAGCAGAATTTAAAAACCCGAGAGAGAGGAGCAGTGTGTACTATAATGTTTAGACGAAATTGCCAGGTGGGTTCAGCCAGTGTGTGTGCAGGCCAGGGCAGTGTTTCTCCCTGGGTTGTGTATAAAACTGTAGTGGCCTCTAAAACATCAGAAGATCATCTTTATAGTGACTGGGAAAAAAAAAGTATGTGTTCTCTTGCATTTGAACAAAATGCAACAAGATAGTTTGACATTCTTGGGAAAAAAAAACACAATAAAAAACAACCCCTGCTGTTGAGATCCCCATCACCCCAGAAAAACTGATTCTCCAAAAGATACTGAGCTTTTCCTTTTGACTGTATATAATTGTTTCTGTGATTTGGTAGTAACACGAAGACAAACGTTGAACTCTTGAGGAGAAAAGATTTTTTGTTCATTCAGACAGAAGTTTATAAAGGGTTTTTTATTAATGCTTAGGAGCAAGATGTAAAAAAAAAAAAAAATTACTTGCAAATTAAAGATACTAATATTTTTGATGTCAGGTATTATTTTTAATAGAACTTTTAGAAGGGTCTTTTTAAATCTAGGAACATAACCAATAGCTGTCCATCATTTGCACCTTCATAATAGTTAATTTCTACTACATTTATTCTGATTCGCTGTTTGAATTCATGCTGACAACTTTAATTGTGCCAAAAGTTTAGTCCTAATACCATTCTTACAGAATCTGTGTTGTAAGACTGCTTAAGTCATTGGTTGCTCTTTTATTATTTTTACAAGATTTTAATCTGCACCTCCTCTGCTTGGGCCTGCTGAAGTCAGTGGGAAAGCTCTGATACATTTCAATCTATAGGTCTTCCAAGTGTAGCATGGATTTGCTTTTTCTTCTGGAGTAAGAGTATGTTCAGCCCCTGCATTCCTTCCTGTATGACACTGAAGCTTTTGTCTTTTATTCCCATGTAATCACCTAATACTAATGAAAGGTGGCAGCTGTTTCTTGCTGGAGAACTTAAATGTATTGACCTACAGCAGGTCATGTTTATCTGACACCATCTGAGAAGTACTCTTATCTGAGTGAGAGGAAAATAAAGAGGAATAATGTAATATCATTTCATTTACAAACCATTTTTGTGTATTTCAGAAAGAACAATTACCTCGTAAAATGTAATGCCTTACAGCTTATGGCTGCCTTGTAAATACAAAGATCTTAAATTGCATCGCTGGTTAGTAAAAAAAAATACACTAAAGCACAAAGCTTTAAAAGGAAACTGCTCAACTTGTTTATTTTTGCTGTAGGCAATTAATTGGTTTCTTCAAAGTGCTGATAATGAAAAGACACTTTGTATTACTGGTCCAATTTCAATTTGCTTGCAGTTCACTGAAATCTGGTGAAGAACAAAAGAGTAAACAGTAACAACATTATTCTGTGGTTAAGATGCATGTCTGCAAACAGGATAAGTTTTAGCAGATAGTTTGCTGTTTAGTAACGTGAAAGTTTGCTGCCTGTTGGCCAGTGATTTCTCAATGAATATGCTGAATGTTACCTGTTCTACAGTCATCAGAATCATGGATCCATTTTAGTGAATACAAAACCAAGTCCAGGTTGTGGTGAAAAGCCTTCACAGCCATGGAGCTGTGTAACTTTACTGCTGAGACCAAAGCATGTCAAACACATCTGGGTTTGCAGTAGTTACTCAGGTGAGTTGTTATGTGAGGGGAAGTCTCACCGGTGCAGTGGAGTGGTGCATCGAGATAAAGAGCAAGATCATTTTTGCTTATGCTCATCAGAGTTCTTCCCACACAGAAGCCCTCCCTGCTGGAAGGAAGGATCAGTCGCTATAGGCACCAAGCAGGTTACTTCCCAGCTTGGACCCAGGCTGAATGAGAGAGATGGAGCTGAGTCATCCTGTAATGGTACAAGGTGCTTGATAAACTGGGCTGCTTTGTTCGATTACAGGATGTCAGTCAGAAATAACTGAGTAGTTTTGAAATGGCAGAGTTGAATAAAAAGCAGTTACATCCCTGAAGAGGGTAACTGGGAGAAGAAGAAAAGGGCAATCAAAAGCAGCAATAACTATGACTGGAGGCTAACTAGAGTTCCTCAGAGGTAGTACCAGGCCTTTGGATTTCTGGTGGGCATGATGTGGTCATACTTTTCCTCCTACATTAAGACTAGAAGCATAAAATAGTAACATATATTAGGGTAGTGAAATTTGGAGCACACTAATGGAAGTTTGGAGCAAATACTAATGTAAACCACAGGAAAACACACACATGCACATTGGTTTGTGGTATTAACCTTCTGTGGTTAATGTTACCATTGGTTAAATATACTGGCCCCACTGCTTACCTTACACTGCAGCTTCAATATACTTGTGGGGAAAATAAATATGGCATAGGAAAAGCAGCAGTACATTACTACAGCCCATGGTTTGGAAGGAGAAAGATTTCCTGGAGCTTTCTCCTTGAATAACTCAGAATTGTCTGAAAGAGTAATGATTTAATGAATAAGGCAAAAGAATGAGAAGAAATCTAGAGTTTCTGCTAAGTTTCGGCTGTACTCCTCTTGGGCAAGTCACTTTTTCCCCAGCCTCTGCTGTGTGTGTGTTGTGTTTAATTCTTACTCTAGTGACCAGATCCCAAGGAAGCAATTTAATAAGTGTGTTGTTTTAGAACAGCTCTAAGAACTAAAATTCATGGATTATGTGACTTGGACAAATCAGTGGGTTATTGAATCTGCTTTTCTGGAAGCAATGAGAAATGCTTGGTCACTTAGCACAAATACACTATAATCTTTATTGTGCGGTCAGAAGCTTGAGCCTTGCAGGTGCGTGCTCTTCACCTTTTCCGTATGGCATCAGGAAAGCAACTGGTATGTTCTGGTCTTGACAGCAGGAAAGGAAACTGGTTTCTGTTTGCCTGTTCTCCACTCTCTTATCACAGAACGGGTTAATTTAATCTGTCTTCACAATAGGGTTCATATGATTAATTCAGCTGATTGTCAGAGCCAACTGAAATATATCTATGTGATGGTGCTGCTCTGACCTCTTGTTCTTTTTATTGTGAAGTACTTGCAATTCTAATACTATCTTATCAGAAAAGCAAATTGATATAAATTTAGTCTAGTCCTATTGTAGTGCAAGTTTTCCAGCCAGAAAGGAAGCTATTCCTATTCTGTATCAGTATTACTTAAAATTACACTATCTATTGAAAACTAGAATCAGGCTACAGCTGTAGCCAGAACCAAGATCTGGAAAGGACTGCTTCCATAGAAGAATCCAGGTAGAAGAATCCACACAATGTGTATGGATTCAGCTACAGTCCTTCCTTGGCTGGGGCTCTCGTTTGTGTCGGCTGTAGGCTTTGCTGATCTGACCCTTTACCATCAGTCACTGAAGGAAGAAACCGGCAGCTGGATGTTCTTGTGGCTTCTTCATGCCCATGGCACAAGTCCCTTCTGTGC